TTCCATTAGCTGTGGTGGATTGGAGAGCCCTCTCCAAATGCAAAATGAAGGTCTCCAGCACTGTCTATGAATCCAGTGAGTCTGTTGTCAATGACAGCACATCCAGTGTGACAAACAACTGGAAAGTAGGCCTAGATATTCCAGTCAACCCTAATGTGAAGGTTGGGGTGGGCTTGGGCGGTACCCACTCACGCGACGCAATGTTTGCCATGAAGAAATCAAAGGAAGACAAGTACAGCTTCACCAAACATCAGGTCCACTGCAGCTTGTATAGGTGAGACTCAGTTTTTAAGATGACATACAAAACATTAACAAACTCTAACTACGTTTAGAGAGATAATACAAAAGGTAAAAGATTATTACTTAACAGGCTCAAAAAGATACTTTTTCAATTTCTTAGGCAACGATGAAAATAGACATTGACCTACATATTGAAAGTTTTGTGTTTTTTTCTCTTTTCCCCCTTATTATTGTTTTATGTCACCCCTGCCTTTCCCAGGTACAATGTAGCAACTAAGCCCCCACTTCACAAAGAGTTTCTGGAGTCCATTAAACAGCTGCCTAAAGAGTACAACCAAAAAACTAAAGCAGATTATAAAAATCTCATTGATACATATGGTACCCATTTTGTTAAAAATGTGAAAACGGGTGGAAAATTAAAGAGTATTACTTCAATTAAGACCTGCCAGACTGCAATGAGTGGCCTCACAGACACAGCTGTTAAAGACTGCCTGGATGTTGAAGCTTCAGCAACAATTGCAATGACTGCAAGTATAAAGACAGAAGCCCACCACTGCAAGGAACTTAAGAAGAAACTAGGCAGCAGCCAGACCTTTAGCAGCTTGTTCAGTGATCGCCACTCTGAGGTGGTGGGTGGGAATGTTAATTCAGCAGATTTGCTTTTCTCAGGTGGTTCAGATCCAAGTACATACAAGAGCTGGCTGGATTCCTTGAAGAACAGCCCAGATGTCGTCTCCTACAGTCTGAAACCCCTACATCTTTTGCTGCCTCTTGGGCATTTTGCAATAAGGCCAGTTAAGAAAGCAGTTGAAGAGTATGTCATAGAGAACGCATTACTGGAGAGCTGCTCTGAATCTTGTCAGATAGGAACTAGATGTTCTGTGAGAGACCGCTGTGCCTGTGTCTGCAACAGCGATCAGAATATAAACTCCAACTGCTGCCCAGTTTCCAAAGGACTGGCTACACTGAAAGTGTATAATATGAAAGCAGAGAAGCTGTATGGAGACTGGTGGACCGAAACTGACGGTTCTGTTCTAGTGTCATATGGTACACAGAGTAAGC